AGTAGGTTTAAAGCAAATTCCACAGAAATAGGATCGTTGGCATCTATTAATATAGGCAGGGTGTTCCTACATAGAAAAATATTGACATGTACCTGTATGCTCTGTATATTTTAAACGTAATGACAAAGCAATCAGACAATGATACTAATCACTTATACAAACTATAATTAAAAAGTTTCTAGAACACCTGTTGCCCTAAAGTTGTTTGCAATAATATTTAGAATAGTTGTTATTCTAGTGTATAGAATTTGAAGTGAAACAGATGGAAAATGAACTAAAACGCGGCAAGGTTCGGTGAAGAATGCAAGCGGCAACAGACCAGGTTAGCTCAAGGGAATAGACTGCATGCAAACCAAGAAATAAACCCAAAGCTGATAGCGCTTAAAGAAGTTATGAAACTGTACAATTTTGGTTTAGATAATTCCTCACAAAAATCGATATGTCCGTTCCGTGGCAGAACTATTTATGACGATCTATGTCCATCGCCTGCCCCTGAGCAAAACGCCAAATACGGCGCATCTCAGTTGGTTTATCATACCGCTTAATAGCTCATTGTTGTGTATATTAATCAAACTGGATCAAAATCCAGATGTTCTGTACTGTTCAATATATCATAGCTGATCTATAGATGCAATGGAATGTTCAACAGAACATAACTTATCTAAAAGACGTATTGCACTGTTCAACAGGACATAGTAGATATGCAGATGCATTGCACTGTTCAACAGGACATTGTTGATATGTAGATGCATTGCACTGTTCAACAGGACATAGTTGATATGCAGATGTTGATATGATATGTAAATGCATTGCACTGTTCAACAGGACATAGTTGATATGTAGATGCATTGCACTGTTCAACAGGACATAGTTGATATGTAGATGCATTGCACTGTTCAACAGGACATTGTTGATATGTAGATGCATTGCACTGTTCAACAGGACATTGTTGATATGTAGATGCATTGCACTGTTCAACAGGACATAGTTGATATGTAGATGCATTGCACTATTCAACAGGACATTGTTGATATGTAAATGCATTGCACTGTTCAACAGGACATAGTTGATATGTAGATGCATTGCACTGTTCAACAGGACATAGTTGATATGTAAATGCATTGCACTGTTCAACAGGACATAGTTGATATGTAAATGCATTGCACTGTTCAACAGGACATAGTTGATATGTAAATGCATTGCACTGTTCAACAGGACATAGTTGATATGTAGATGCATTGCACTGTTCAACAGGACATAGTTGATATGTAGATGCATTGCACTGTTCAACTGCTGATTTGTAGGTATATTGCAGTGACCAATAGAACAAAGCTGATCTGTGGATGTACTGTTCAACAGGACAAAGCTGATCTGTAGATGTACTGTTCAACAGGACAAAATTGATGTGTAGATGTACCGTTCAACAGGACATAGTTGATCTGTAGATGTACTGTTCAACAGGACAAAGCTGATATGTAGATAAATTTACTTTTCAACAATAGTATTTCAGTATGTGTATCAGTGTCCAACATATCGCACCCTGTCTGTTGTTGTTCAGTGTTCAATAGCACAAATCTCTAGATTTATAAAATGGATCGTTCAACAGAACAGCATTGATTGATGATAATAGCCAACGTTTAATTGCTCCGTAGGTCTTCCCATTGTTCAACAGCTGAAAACACTATACATTTACTGTCCTACTTAATAACAGCCGATTCAGGGTTTATCAATTCTACTACAGAAAACAGCTCTCAGTTGACCATGACTATCTAGATGACCATACTGTTCAATAGAGCATATTGTTGTAGGTTCAAAGTGTTCATTAAAGTTTAATCATGTACATTACCTGCCATCGTTTTTTCGTTGTATACATTACTAGTGTTCAAGACAAAATGGGTCTACATCAGATTGTACATAAATACGGGGAGATCTGACATGGGAAGATTCATCTCAGATAAGATTTATTCAACGACGTTGTTTTTTTCTATTTTACCGAGTGTCTGGCGGGTGAGATTGAAAACATTGTGGGTTTCAGAAATATATAAAAAGGAAACGAAGGTAACATTCTGTTTATCACATTAATTTCTTCTCTGCAAACATTCAGAAATAAAGCATTTCATTCAATTGATACAAATCTTAACTGGTGATATTCTCACTCTATATCACTTTCTTTGAAGATGTCTCAACGCTTGACGCATAATGAAAACAATGGGAATATACAGTCAGTCTCAGCCATGGTGGGTCGTAAATACCAACAAGAAAATACCATCATGTCAACATAATCATAATCGAATTCAATAAAACTGGGGCAAACTATGAACAAAAGAAAGATCTACACGGACACTCCCGAAAAAGTACCAGAAGAAATATACCAGATGTTCCGGCAGAGAAGCATCTTCTGCTTCATCGGCAACACCTACCATGTTACACAATTGCAATTGCAATAATATGATATATTTACATTTCGACTTCTCTCCGCTTCAGTGAAATAAGTAAGCTCCGATCACTTGTTTTCTTGATGAAAGAAGTGGATCGCGTGCTTTTGTTTTTGAAGAAAAGATACTACATGTATTTGAAACAATGGTGCATCTTTTACAATATAGAAGTACATGTTTGCAGTACAGGTCCGCTATACATTATCATTCCCGAAAGCATCACCACGTCACACTCTATAATTCAGAATGAAATTTGCTCTGTCGAGCGGATTTTATCCTAACGATATCAAATGATTTCTTAAATGGCCAGGTAAATATGGCATCTCTTCAAATATGCATGCATAATTATTTGACAAATCAAACGTCAGTCATTTGCGAGGTATCATCGAGAGCTTAACTTTGCCTAGACAAGATGTCCCTACCGTAATGTGTGCTTCAAACCCTCGTCGTTATTGTTTTGTCCGGGTCGATACATCGTATCATTGAATATAATACTAATCTTATAAGTCTTCGTCTATTTAAAACCTATGCCTACGTAAAATTAAACCTTTTTTCGCTGTGTTTTCTATTCTAATACGTGACATCCGACTGTCATCTTCATCGGACAAATGACACAAGTAGTATAATATTTGAGTTTGTCGGTCACCTTCATCAGACAAATGACACAAGCAGTATAATATTTTAGATTGTCGGTCACCTTCATCAAACAAATGACACAAGCAGTATAAGATTTGAACGTTACTGTCACCTTCAACAGACATATGACACAAGCAGTAAAAGATTTGGACATGACTGTCACCTTCATCAGTCATATGATACAAACAGTATTTGAACGTTACTGTCACTTTCAACAGAAATATGACACAAACTGGGATTGTATTTAAAATGTACAGGAAATGTATTGACCATGTCGATCGTGTATACCCGCCAGAATTGGAAATCAAGAACAGGCCAGACTCTTCTACATCAGCGACTTAACTCGATCTCTGATATTACGCAACAAACAGGGAAATCTTTCAACCAAGCTGAATAATGATGCGTGATGATTTCTGTCTCTGAATTATATTTTTTTCAAGACAGTATTTATCCTGCTTCCCAACCTACAAAATGTACAATCTCCACACGTCGCAGCTGATTCGGAGTACTTAATATCACGACTTACGTGAAATATGTCGACAGCTGACAGATCAATTTACGACACAAAATTTCGAGAGATATATATTGATAAAGACTATGAAGAAAATTGTACAGTCGCCCTGGCGTTCTCACTGGGAAATCGTGTGCGATATTTTGTTAGGTGTGTATGGTGCTCGTTAGTGTGCCTGGAGGTTAGCGTTATAAAAATGATTCTAATCAAGAATTTATACATACTTAATGTCACAATATTTACAAACTATATTTATCGCTTAAACTGACATATCGATAATCGACCTTATTGATGTTAATTACACTTGGTGTAGATATAAATAGTATCATACATGGTTTGTGAATTGGTTGATGTTCTTTGATCTATTTGACCATTTAAGTTTCTGTTGGGTTCTGTGCTCGCATTTGAAACAGGGATGGTGATTTTGCTAAAGTGTAAAGCTGTTGTCTCGCAAATAAAATATGTAAACCACCCACTGTGTCAGAAATGTTTTTATGTATATATATTTTATAACGTTTTAATTATTTATATTTACACAATAACTTTTGAAACCATTTTGACAGAAAACAAACCGGGAACTTTTTCAGTGGTAACACATCTGCTTCTGTCTAACAGTAATAAGGCATATACTCACTCATACTGATGTACTAATTCAACCAAAGCTGATGGGGAGGGTTAGCCGCTGATACCCCCGTAATGATAGTGAGAAACGTCTGTGTATTATTTCGACTGCTGTGTGTTATTGTAGTTCATAGGTCCACCTGCCCCTCCGCCGGGAAAGAGAGGCAAAGACACGCCGAGATTCCATTTCAAAAGTAAACAGTCTTCAGGAGCAGCAGGGTAAAATCGTTTTGGTAGATAAACATACTTTTATATAAATCTGTTATGAAAACATCTCACTCAGGAATACTGACTTACAGTACAATGTATTGAATACACTGTAGGGGGTTTGACTCAGTAGAAGGTACCATCGTTATCAGATAACTTAGTTCAGAATTGTACAAAAGACACACGAGCGAATACCACATTTTGACACCAATTACGAATGAAATACGATAGAGCCAGATTATTATTTAACTGTATCATACAACTGTTTCGTTCCTCTTGGACTCGTCAGAAATGCTGTTGACTGTGGAAAAACCAAAGTGATAGACAGAAATGTCGAGATTACCCCCCAATCAATTTCGTTATTTTCCATTTTTCTGATAACTTAGACAGAACGTCATGTACATAATACGTTATAAAATTGTCGAGTAGAATGTTGAGTATGAAGCGATAAATCAATGGAGTTTTTATATCTAATTCCTCATATTCCTGTGAAACACGACAAACGGCTTTTTAATGAGACATTGGTAAATGTGCTAGCCTCTGTGTGCCGTGGGAAGACCTGGAACAAAATACCATACATGCTTACATACCTGAGAAACACGATAACTCCAAGTTTCGACAAGTCGTCTTTAATGATGTCCCAGGTGTCCTGAACGAGGTGTATTTGTCGGGGTGTCAAGTAGGTATTAAGCTGAGTATCCCCAGTGGCTGCGGAAGGACAATTTAAAGCCTGGTTTCCCATTATGTAAGTTGTCTTGTAAAGTTCTCTATAACAGTTAACACATCACAACAATCTACACATCACTATTTAGATGAACCATCGTAATAATCCATGTTCAAAATGTAATATTATGTCAGATAAGTTATGGTTTGAATCAAATACAGGTAGAGAGCTGACCAAGGTTTGTGTCCTCTTTGCGGAAGTCACATTCAGTAACAGCGCGTGCACTGAGAGAACCATACAGTGTAAACACTATATATCCAAGACTGATAAATGTCTCAGTCAATTAACCTTGTCGTACTGAGTTCAACACATGTAAAAAATGTCATAATAACAAGGAATTCAGCACGCGTACAATAACCGTTGACGAGAGTAAGAGACGGCGATTGAACATGGATAAGCAGGAGCTGACACAACGAGATAAGCACTGATGCATCAAACTTGAGATAGAGAGGTGTCATCAGACTGCAGAGCTCTATGATGTGTTAAAAATCGACAGCCTTACACCACTTAACACTGACATAGTGTTGGATCATTGTAAATAAACACGCACGTGGTCGCTTGAATTCCAGTCGATAATGAAAACAAATAGCGGCGAAAACATCACCGCGAGCCAATGAAGGTTAGTGGGCGTGGCAAAGTAACAGTAACACCAGTGGAGGAGAATCTAATTAGCGAACACTCCGAGACACTGTCACGGGGAGGATACCGCCAACCCGCTGAGTGTTACATCAATGCCAATGATACCGAGACATGGACCTACTGATGCAGTAAAATAATAATTAGATTATGTCAAAAGTGACTTCACCAACGATGTTAGTTATGTATATGTGTTAGTATATAATTCATTTTGTACTCGACATGTTATTTCTTACTTGTGGAATTGATTACGTATGTTTTTAATTGAATATTCGTTGCTCATTCATAATAGATACATGTTTTTTCTAGTTCTATTTTCATGTCATTTCCTCAAAGCTCAAACGAATTTTTAAAATAATCTCATTCTTTACAATGATTCATCATCTTGCACTTATAAGATTCATCATATCACACTAATACACGATTATATATCTTGTAGAGATGCAAAAATCAACTGAAAGCTATGAGCCATCCTTTCTATTGATGACAGTAGGCATTACGGTGAGATCTAACAGCTACACAGCTTGTCAAAAGGTCTAACGCTTTATTTCATGTCTTCCAGAAACATTTTTATTTTAGTTCTTGGTCCACATATTCTCGTTATTTTGTTATATTAATTATCTCTAGATGTCGGTGACAAACGGATAATACAACACAACCTGGCAAACTAAACTTCAACCTGTTCGAGAGGATGATCCAACAATACACTACCAGTATCACTCGACTCCCGCGAGTTGGAACTCTTCAGACGTGAAGGAGGAGTGTCGACTGTATCTATTCTGTCCACGTGCTATTGTGCGTGATCACCGTTTCTAGATGCACTAGAGTATAGGACATGTGATGGCGTGTTCTTGTCAAACCTCGCATAACTATTTTGCTCAATTTTACTCAAGTATACAGCACAGAAATTGACGTCCTGGGTTCTGATTGAACGACACTCATTTCGCTTCAAGCCACGTCCAGCCATCACTAAACAAAACTTCAATGTTTTCAACAATTATAATCCTTCCAAGAGATTTGTGGATTGTATAATTACGACATTTTAAAGAGAAATCTGGCATTTCAACGTTTGATGTATTAATGCCGGTGGATTAATTTCAATTTCTCAGCGTTTGATTGAAGTTTATTGATGAAGGCTTCAAACGACACCAAGATACTTAAACCACTTAGCAAATGTTATGAAAAAATGTGGAATGTTTATCCATTTACGCTGTGTGAGTTCTTGTAAGGTTTCTGTCGAACAATTGTATGTGCTATGAATGCCAATGCGATCATTGGTACATGTACACTGAAGTAATTTGCTAACACGTATATCGATTGCCTAAGTCGTGTAAAATTGTCCGTAGTTATGAAGAAATGACCGAAGGCATCAAATCAAAATCTATTTCATTAGCATATACTTTACAATCTGAAATAGCTTTCTTGTATTTGGATTCAGCCTGTAAGCTATAAGTCGCAGTGAACTTGTGAGTTTCTAAAGACTATGGAAGATGTAGATCTTGAAAAAAATGCAAATAGACTTATCATTGTTACCTAAGTCACCATGGATAATGCTCTTAAATAAGTAGACAAATTTCATACATATTAATGAACAGAAATGGCTACTGATTATCTACTGTTATAACAAAACTGAGGAAGGTCCAATGACTGGGAAACGTGACCCATTATGACACGTGAGTTTAGGTGACCGTAACGCACTGATATTTGTATATCGATCGTTACCTGATCAAGATACGTGCATTTTCTTAACCTAGAGACTCTTTGAAAATGAAAGATTATCGAAGGAAGACACCTTGAAAGTAGAATCAATGTGTGTCTGTGACAGTCCTTATTGTGCAGTACATAATCTGTATGTGTGCCTTTGTCAGTGTTGTATATTACACTATTGTGTGTCTGTGGCATTCGTACATTTCAATAAGTCAATGTCACATCTGAGCATAAAGACAATTAAAAGCCACAGTTGCAGAAACGTCATTTATGTCTCTAGTAATTGTAAGATATAACAATAACAACGATATGACGTATGTCGAGTTGTCGTTTTATCAGGTTATATCGAGTACTTCTTCTCGAATCATGTCAACATATTTCAAAAAAAGTGATTTCGACATACGTTACTCACAAGTCGTGAGTAGAAATTCCACCTTAGTTAAGTCTCCATTTCTTTTGATCACAATTTACCCGAGGTCCGTTGAATTTCAGTTTAAAATGAGATTATGTTGATATATCGGCATTTTCTTTATTTTTACAACAATGACATACTACAATATATTTAAATTTCAAAGAACTTCAACTTTTACCATGTTGACTTTCCCTTTTTTGTATTTCTTTTTGTCTTGGGTTCCAGTACAGACAAGTGACACTTGTGAAGAAAACATTCAAGGTTTTATTTACTTAACATCAGCTAATCTCTGATAATTGTGAAAATGAATAATGAAAACTGAATCCAGTTTCCATGAAATATATCGACCGTTAAACACGAGATGACTTTCCGACAACGTGGTGAGGTCACAAGATTCAAGTGCCTGAAATTGACAAGTTTTAAATGCGTTGATTGATTCCTGTTGATTAGATTGCCCTCTGCTGTCACATCTTCCAAATTTCGATTTGTGGCTTCAATAATGATGAAGGTTTTGACGTTTTGGTGCCATTTCCTGATTGATAATGACATATCGTACACTGTTTATGGCTACTAAAGTGATATCTCCCTTAGAAAGACATAGACTCTAATACAAATCTACTGTATATAAACAGAACGTTATACAGAAAATGGGATTATATATTTTACCTATGATACATAAATAAAATAGACAGATAGACACTATCGGTCAGTGGTCATTACAGCCAAATTTCATTATCTTTTATACATACCAGACTGACCGTAGTACAAATGTAATCCCTAGCTTCAAGAATAGCCTTTGGCAATCATGGAACCATACACACAAGAGTGACGTCACCATCAACCTCCAAAAGTGGTCGTGAATGTGATTACAAACGTGAATATTTCATGACCTAGAACTAAAGAAACTGAGTGAAACGTGACTACAAACATCGTAACACCAGATATGATACCTAATTTCCTAACAAAGCACGAAGGAAAACGAAACCAGATAAATATGGGTTTGTTGTCTATAAAAACCAACAAAGCTTGCTATCCAGTAACACTTTGTCATTAATGTTGGTTGTCTATAAAAACCAACAAAGCTTGCTATCCAGTAACACTTTGTCATTAATGTTGGTTGTCTATAAAAACCAACAAAGCTTGCTATCCATTAACATTTTGTCATTAATGTTGGTTGTCTATAAAAACCAACAAAGCTTGCTATCCAGTAGTATTATGCCATGAATATCAGTTTTCTATCAAAAACCAGCCAAGCTTGCTATCCAGTAACATTATGCCATGATTATCATGATTAACCAACAAAGCTAACTATCCCATAACACTTTGTCATTAAGCTATGCAATCCAGTAACATGAATATCAGTATGTCATTAATGTTGGTTGTCTATACAAACCAAAAAAGCATGCTATCTAGAAACATTATGCCATAACACTTTGTCATTAATGTTGGTTGTCTATAAAAAAACCAACAAAGCTTGCTATCCCATAACACTTTGTCATTAATGTTGGTTGTCTTAAAAAAAACATGCATGCTATCCCATAACACTTTGTCATCAATGTTGGTTGTCTATAAAAACCAACAAAGCTTGCTATCCAGTAACAATTTGTCATTAATGTTGGTTGTCTATAAAAACCAACAAAGCATGCTATCCAGTAACACTTTGTCATTAATGTTGGTTGTCTATAAAAACCAACAAAGCTTGCTATCCAGTAACAGTATGTCATTAATGTTGGTTGTCTATAAAAACCAACAAAGCTTGCTATCCAGTAACAGTATGTCATTAATGTTGGTTGTCTATAAAAACCACCAAAGCTTGCTATCCAGTAACAGTATGTCATTAATGTTGGTTGTCTATAAAAACCAACAAAGCTTGCTATCCAGTAACACTTTGTCATTAATGTTGGTTGTCTATAAAAACCAACAAAGCTTGCTATCCAGTAACACTTTGTCATTAATGTTGGTTGTCTATAAAAACCAGCCAAGCTTGCTATCCAGTAACATTATGCCATGATTATCATGATTAACCAACAAAGCTTGCTATCCGGTAACACTTTGTCATTAATGTTGGTTGTCTATAAAAACAAAGCAACTAGAAAAAGCTTGCTATCCCATAACACTTTGTCTTTAATGTTGGTTGTCTATAAAAACCAAAAAAGCTTGCTATCCAATAACACTTTGTCATTAATGTTGGTTGTCTATAAAAACCAACAAAGCTTGCTATCCAGTAACACTTTGTCATTAATGTTGCTTGTCTATAAAAACCAGCCAAGCATGCTATCCGGTAACACTTTGTCATCAATGTTGGTTGTCTATAAAAACCAACAAAGCTTGCTATCCTATAACACTTTGTCATTAATGTTGGTTGTCTATTAAAACCAACAAAGCTTGCTATCCCATAACACTTTTTCATTAATGTTGGTTGTCTATAAAAACCAACAAAACATGCTATTTAGTAACATTATGCCATGAATATCAGTTTTCTATAACAACCAACAAAGCTTGCTATCCCATAATACTTTGTCTTTAATGTTGGTTGTCTATAAAAACCAACAAAGCATGCTATCCAGTAACACTTTGTCATTAATGTTGGTTGTCTATAAAAACCAACAAAGCATGCTATCCAGTAACACTTTGTCATTAATGTTGGTTGTCTATAAAAAACCAACAAAGCATGCTATCCCATAACACTTTGTCATCAATGTTGGTTGTCTATAAAAACCAACAAAGC